TGCCCCGGAAGGGCTATGTGGACTGTCCTAAAATGACCTAATATAGCATGAGATTCAGTTAACAGTTAATCAGAATTCACCATTATTTGATTTTGGATCCACTTTCATCTCTTGCTACACACACATACATATAACCAATACCATACTTGCAGTGTAAAGTGTTATACTGAACCATATTAACATCTGTGATTTTGCCTGGGACCTGCCAAGTTGAGTTTAATCCAGACGGCCTACATTGTGAGTCAATGTCTTCCCAACATGGGAGCCTGGCATAACCTGGCTTTGCCACCAGACATCCAACAGATTTGCGTCTACATCCAAACTACAAAAACACCTCCCCAAACGGCCTGAAAGTGGCCAAATCAAGTTCTTTTTTTTTTTTTTTTGGTAAAAACAATATTTTGAAATATGTTCTGGAGTTTTGAATGTTGACTGAATCAATGGGCAAATCAGAAACTTTGATGGTATGTCAGTTGTTGATTATGGTGTCAAATTTCAAGATCATTCAAATCAGAACTATGTAATTGGGTTGAGTTGAACTCACCAGAGTATTTGAGGCCGAAGAGAGGATCCCCACAGCCCATGAATGATGAATGATGGAGTTGACTGTGATTTTCTTTCTGTTGTTGATGGAATGTTTTTTTTTCGGGTTGAGTAAGGTTTTTTCGGGTTGAGTGAGCACGGAGGAAGTTGTGGGCGCTTTGGAGTGTACACTCACTCAACTCAGCTCGATTTCTTTTTCTTTTTCGTTTCCTTTCGTTTTCCATTCCTTTCTTTACCCCATCCACCTCTCTCTCTCTCTCCTACTACCTTCAGTCAGAAGCCCAGCCAAGTCATGTTCAACTCAAACCAAACAACAACAACAACAACAACAACACCAGTCAGACGAAACAACAGAAACTCAACCATCGGACTCAACTCACAACAACAGCAACAACAACAACACTCACTACCACAACTACCATCAACAACAAACCAACAACAACAACAACAACAACCATACTACAACCACCACCACCAACATCAACACTCAGAATCACTCGACTACTCATCAGCAGAACACCTACCCAACCTCAAATCATCAACTCACTCATCAGAACACCACCACCAACAACAACAACAACAACTCACTAACAGACATGTCACCAGCTCACCCAAACTGCCCAAATCAGAACCACTCCAACTACGATCTTACTCCGGAGTACTCGAAATCAGGATGCCAAACGAACCACAGCAACAACAACTTCCCAGGAACAGTCTCAACAACAAATCAGTCCTCCATCAATCATCCAATCTCAGCCTAGATAAACACCATCGATCCGGGAACCCATTGATCAGCTCAACCGGTTCCACTCTCAAGCCACGCCGTCGGCCACCACGAGTATACGAGACCCATCCAGGAAACCTAGTCTTCTGCTGTAGAGGGAGACTCATCAGCTCCAAGCCAAGCCATTCGATCCCCTTGACGCGTCGCCGAAGGCCCAAGAATCGCAGGAGGATCGAAGAAGAGGGAAGTCGAGTAGAGGACAGAGCAGGAGAAGAGGTCGAGGAGGCAGAAGGAGAGGGAGAGAGCGAAGGACGCCGACTGTATCTGCCCCTCCAGACCCTCGCCTCCGTCGCCCTCCTCCTCGCCATCCCCATCCTCTTCCTCTACTCCACCGCACCCACCCTGATCCACCGCTCCGGATTCGGCATCTTCCTGGTCGCCCTGTTCTGTTATCTCTGGATGCTCACCCTGAGCTCGATGGCCAAGACGGTCTCCTCGGACCCTGGGATCCTGCCCAGAGGCCTAGATCCTAACCCAGAGATGGTCTGGAAACCCGCCCCGATCGATCCCCCTGCTTCCAACGATCTCCCCAATCCCAATCTTCAATCACTCTCTCAACAACAACACCCAGGAGGAGGAGGAGAGAAAGCATTCGAATACGATCAGGTCGGCGAATGGGAACTGCTCCCCCGATGGATCAAAGTCGAAAGTAAACAGCTCAATCCTTCCTCATCTAATAAACCGATCCCTCTCGACTTCCTTCCCGATGAGGACGTCGGATGGATCCAATCTAAATGGTGCTCGACTTGCGAATCTTATCGGCCCCCGAGATCCTCTCACTGTCGGATGTGTGACTGTTGTATCGATGGTGTTCAGTCCCCCCCCCGTCCTCCTTTCTTTTTTTTCATGCATTCTTACTGATATTTCCCTTTTGCTCTCTTTTGTGCTGGTATTTAGATCGACCATCATTGTTCTTACCTCAACGTAAGTCTCCTTATCTATCCTTTCAAACCAAGTTTTTATAGAAAAACTAATTTAAACAAAAAAAAAATATGAAAGAATTGTATTGGATCAAGGAACTACCGATCGTTCTTCACCTTCTTGATGACGAGTGTGATGAGTCTAATGATGATCATTGGCTGTTCGATATGGAAGTTATTCTTCGAACTCGACAGACAACAACAAGACTCGAATGGAGGAGAGGGATCGAATAACAGCCAAGCCTATACCGCGATAATCTGCAGC